ATTGAATTCATCAGCACGAATCAATGCGTCGATTCAAGTTACACTAATCAATTCTAGTTATTAACTTAGATAAATTACAAAGATGGTGTGAATCCATAAAAATCCAAGAAGCGTGGCTCTAGTCTTGCATCAGTAAATGACAACTAAATGCTGAAGAAGAAAGAACTGCTACAGATAGCAACAGATACGTGTAATATTATCGATATGAAATGATAGACACCTTCACCGATACTCCTTTACAAGGCTTATTTTGAGCAAAAGAAACACTTTTCAACTGAATTTTGGTATTTAAGTAAAAATCCGCACAGAAGGATTCAAAATTTAAGCAGAGGACATTAAAGTGCAAAATCATCGCAGTGTTTTACCTCATATCAGTTACTATCTTCCCTGTGCGCTTCAAGTACGTCTGAAGAGAATCAACAACAAGTGACAATAGTTTCTTCTCATCTTTTGATAGGGCATTTCCATCAACCTGACTGGATAGTCGACGAATCGCAGCTTCCAATTGTGAAAGTACCTAAAAAAGCTTTGATGAATGTAGTTAGCTTTGAAATAGCGGAAAATGGTATAACTTTCTCAAAACTGTAGGAGTAACCTTTTTTGTATCTTTGTCAAACGCATCTCTCTCAGCTTCACCCATCACATGGAACGGTGAATTGAACGACAAATAAGTACGACGTCTACCGAGTACCACCTAAAGAATAGCAATATAAAGAGCATAACATTGGAGCTATCCTAGCTGTATACGATAAACCTGTTGAAGTGCTGTTAAATCTCTTCCAACAGAAGATGCGTCAGTGATCAGTTTCTTATACATCGTGGTAACTCCAAGTCCTGAAAATCATGCACAAAATGAGCGATTTATTTGAGATGATCAACTTGTCCAAACCTCAATTTATTCCAAGTGCAAGGAAGCTAAATCTCACCTTTGACATTTCCTTAAAACTGCCGTAAAGTTATTCAAGTAGTGTAGTGGACTTTGCAAATTGCAGAAAGTTATGCGAAGGCTTATAGTTTGATTAACTATAGCTGGCCCATATAGTCTGCTGCAGGCTTTCCTACGACGTGCAACACCCGCCCCTTCCTGCGAATTGTTTGGCACGATTCCGCAGTTGTGTTGTCGCTAAGGGTACCTCCATACCACACTGTGGACACCCATCGCGATATTGCGCGATAATTCGACCGCCTTGAGTACTCACAAAATCCACGCGCAGATAGCCAAGACAGAGATCGATTATTGCCATTTCTAGTAATGCCACGCTAAATTCTTTGAAGTTTGGCTTGATCTTCCTATAGATAAACTCTTTTAACTCCAGGAAGCGCTCGTAGTGCACAACGACTGCTCCGTTAGATTTATGTCCACAGGTATGAGAACTAACTTTTTTGATAGAACGAAATGCAGAAGGTTATACGCAGGCACTTATAGTCTGGCTATATCTACCTTATGTACTTCTTACAATTTTTTGAGTTTTTAGTAATTAGTAAGAAAAGATAACATTCAAAGGGGAAACTTGAGACGTGAAAATGGTCCAATCCAATGACCTATACTTTAATAATTAAATATGAATTGAATGGTTGCAAAAAGGATAAAGTACGCCCGCACTTTGTAAAACTTGGCCATTACGTTTGGTAGGTTCAAACAAAACAGATGAATTCTTTTTCTTAT